AGTTTTAGGACCCCTTCTCTTCTGTCTTTACATGTGGGACTCCACAGGGTTCGGTTTTGAGCCAACTTGTCTTCTGTCTTTACATTCTCCCAATGAGAAGAATTATGCAATCTGCTTTCATCTCTTCACTGCTACGCTAATGGTACTAGATCTGTTGGCTGGAGACAGGGCTTTTTCTGTAGCAGCTTCCTGGCTCCGGAATAGACCGGCTGAGTCTGTTTTTAAGATGCCCCTTAATACCCTCTTTTATTGTCTGGCTTTTGATTGTGTTTAATCAAAGTTCCTGGGTTTAAATTGATTTCAAACGTCTTCTCTCTAAGTTCCCTCTATGTTTGTATGTGGTAACCCAAGTGCTTCACAAAGACACACAGACATCTATACAGTATATATAACTTAAAATGAATAACCATTCTTGGGTGTGTAAGGGTTACATGGACATTCAATAATAAATGATGGTATTTATTTCTTAGATCATGGTAGATTCACTAACTGTAAATAAAATTGTTTCAATTTCTATTTTTTATTTAGAGTAGAAGTGCATTACTATGTGTTATGTTAGTGTCTTATGATACAAAGGGGTGGCGACTGTGGGTAAGTGGAGAGCAGGGCCGTCCTTCAATCATAGGATCGGCGGTTCGATCCCCGGCTCCGCTAGTCGCATGTCGATGTGTCCTTGAGCAAGACACTTAACCCCAAAATTGCTCCCGTAGCTGTGCCTACGTGTATGAATGTGATAGAATCTGAATTGTAAGTCACTTTGGATAAAGGTGTCTGCTAAATGACTGCAATGTAAAGAGAAAACTTGTATTTGTATATTTTCCCCATGTAAACTGTGTGGACCCCAGGAAGAACAGCTACTTTATGGGGATCAAACAAACTACAATAGAGTGATAGTACTGACCACATGTCGATGTGAGTGGAGTAGTTAGTGCTGCCCAACAGGATGTCTGGCGGTCGGTACCAGAGCGTCACCACCTCATTAGAGTACGTCTTGGTTGGGATTGATTTTGCTCGTGCAAGACCTAAAACACACACAACGCCCTAGTGTCATCATCACTGTGTTTACATCACTTCAGCAACATCACAACATGATATAACTATCATGAAGACACCTTAGTCCAGGGGTCGGCAACCTGCGGCTCGCGAGCCGCATGCGGCTCTTTAGCCTCTCTGTTGCGGCTCCCTGAGGTCCCCAACTGGCGCACCAGATCTGGACCCAGAAACTAAAAACCGATAGATAATTTGGAATTATACATATTGGGCACCGAGTTTAAACTTTAACAGGCGCTTCTTATTCAGCCGTTACGGCACTTGTTCGGCGGTGCAGGAAACACCGACCAATGCATTGCAAATCACATCACGTGATGCAGCTCAGCCAATCAAATATGGGTATTCTGACAAGTTTCCTGACTCGAGCAAGGTTTACACACACACACGTGACACACGGGGCTGAGATGAGAAAATAGAAAGAAGAGCAGGAGAATTGCGCTAATCGAAGAAGTTATCTCACATGACTCTCTCCAAAAAGAGAAACATGTTCAGAGAGAATATAATTTATAAGCAAGAATGAACAGAATCTTATATGTTAATTATTCCCACAGGCAGTTAAATCCTCTACTCCTGTCAAGCGCTTTTCCCTGCAGGTGGCTAATCATGATTTTCAGACCCCTAACCCTAACCCCTCTGTAAACTATCAATGGATAAATCCAAAAAAAGAAAAGTCACGGAGGAAAATAGAGTTTAACTCTGCATGGACGTCTTCATTTGCTTTCACTGCCAATGATGCTGACTTACCTGTATGCTTCCAGAACAAGCACACAGCATTTGCTGAAAAGTGTCACGCTGGAGATGAGCGAAAAAGAGCGATTTCTCAGCTGTTGCAGCAAACTCTCCTCTTCATAAGAGTTTGATATTGTTATAACAGGTAAAATTGCAAAAAAATGTCAAGAATTGTCTTTATTCTTGTTCTATAATTTCATAAATACAACAAAATATAGTTTTTGTATATATAATATAACTATATATACAACTTTATAAGCTGTGATATCAAATAGCTTTTGCGGCTCCAGACAAATTTTATTTGGTGGAACATAGGGCAAAATGGCTCTTTGGATAGAAAAGGTTGCCGACCCCTGCCTTAGTCCAAAGTAATTTACTATAAGTTCATTCATCCTCAACTGAAGCAAAAGTAGATGTAATCTGTAGGTTTGTCTGTGGGTAGAGGATGTCTGTGGGTAGAGGTTGTATGTGGGTAGAGGTTGTATGTGGGTAGAGGGTGTCTGTATTACATTACAATACAGACGCTTTTATCCAAAGCGACTTACAATGAGTGTATTCAACATCGGTATTCAAGAGAAGTATGAGTCACCAGAAGTCATAAGTGCATCTCCTTTTTTAAACAAGCATCTAAGAGCATAAACCAGAGCAGAAGTACATAAACAAACTAATATGAATAGAATAAGTGCAACAAACTAGTATGAATACAATGAGTGGTGAGTGGAAGGCTCAGGGTAGGCCTTCTTGAAGAGGTGAGTCTTCAGCCTGATGAAAGATGGGCAGCGACTCTGCTGTCCTGACGTCAGTGGGGAGTTCATTCCACCACTGTGGGGCCAGGACAGAAAACAGCCGTGACCGGGTCAATCGGCTGCAGGGACCTCTGAGCGATGGGGCAACTGATCGCACCGACGGAGCAGAGCGAAGTGGTCGGGGGTGGGAGGTTTAGAGCTTGACCGTGGCCTGGAGATAGGAAGGAGCTGTTCCTTTCACTGCCCTGTAGGCTAGCACCAGAGTCTTAAGCTGGATGCAAGCTCTTACAGGGAGCCAGTGTAGAGAACGGAGAAGGGAAGTTGTGTGGGAGAACTTGAGGCGATCAGACGAGCTGCAGCTTTCTGGACAAGCTCCAGAGGTCTGATGGTTGAGGGCGAGGCTCGGGCAAGTAGAGAGTTGTAGTAGTCCAGGCGGGAGATGACAAAAGCCTGGATGAGCACTTGCGCCGTCTCGTCAGTGAGGAAGGGCGAATCCTCCTGATGTTGTAGAGCAGAAATCTGCAGGAGCGTGTAACCGATGCAATGTTTGCTGAGAACGACAGTTGGTCGTCCAGGGTCACACCGAGGTTCCTCGCAGTCCGAGTTGGCGTCACCAGGGTATCATCAATGGTGATGGACAGGTCTCGGTGCGGGCAACCCTTCCCCGGGAGGAACAGTAGCTCGGTTTTTTCCAGGTTGAGCTTCAGGTGGTGTGTCGCCATCAACTTCGAGATGTCAGCCAAGCACGCAGCGATGCGTGCCTCCACTTAAGTGTCACCGGGGGGAAACGACAAGACCAGCTGGGTGTCATCGGCATAACAATGGTAAGAGAAGTCATGCGAGCAAATAACAGAACCCGGAGATGTTGTGTAGAGCGAGAAGAGAAGGGGGCCCAGAACTTAACCTTGTGGAACCCCCGTAGTTAGCTCTCGCGGCGTGAAGCAACTCTGTCACCGCAAGGAGGGCTGTCTCTGTCGAGTGACCCACCTTGAACCAGGACCGGTGGGGGTCCAAGAAGTTGTTCTGGTGGAGATAGGAAGACAGTTGGTTAAAGACAGCACGTTCAAGTGTTTTGGAAAGAAAGGGTAGAAGAGAAACCGGTCTGAAGTTCTTGACATCAGAGGGGTCAAGTGATGGTTTCTTCAGAAGGGGGGTGACTCTGGCAGTCTTCAAAGCTGTGGGAAAGCATCCTGAAACAAGAGATGTGTTGATGAGGTGGGTGAGGAAAGGAAGGAGTTCAGTCGCAATAGACTGAAGAAGAGAGGAGGGGATCGGGTCAAGGGAGCACGGGGTGGGGAGGTTAGATGTAACAAGGTTGAGGACCTCATTAGGGGAGAGGGGAACCAGATACTGTAGGGTAAGATGGGGCGTGGTGAGGGGAGGGAGAGCTGAGGGGGAAGAGCTGGAGAGGGAGAGGGGGGTCAGGGACAGGGGGGCTGAGAGAACGAGGATCTGATATAGTTTACCTTCTTGTCAAAGAAGTTGGCGAAATCATCAGGGAGAAGGGAAGAAGTAGGAGGAGGGGGTGGGGGTTGGAGGAGTGAAGAGAAAGTTTCGAAGAGTTTTTTAGGATTGGAAGCAGAGGTTAGGGTTTTATAGTGGAAGAAAGCAGCTTTAGCAGTAGATAGAGAGGAGGAAAACGTGAAAAGAAGAGATTGGAAGTTAAGAAGGTCCTCCGGGAGTTTGCCTTTTCTCCATTTTCGCTCAGCCTCTCTTAGGCTCCGTCTGTCAGTACGACAGCCGCGGGGCAGGTGGAGTTGGCCGTGCAGGCCTGGAGGTGAAGGGACAGAGGTTGTCCAAAGAAGAGGAAAGGGTGGATAGGAGAAGATCAGTAGCAGTATCAGGGGATAGGAAAGAGAAGGATTCAGGGTCAGGGAGAGCAGAGGTAACAGAAGAGGAAAGATCAGCGGGGGAGAGGGAGCGGAGATGACTATGGGTAGAAACCATGTGGGTAGGTGGAGGAAGTAAGGGGGGAGAGGAGAGGGAGTAGGACATGAAATAGTGGTCAGAGAGCTGAAGGGGAGTGACGGAGAGGTTAGCAGTAGAACAGTGTCTAGTGAAGATAAGATCCAGCTGGTTGCCGGCCTTGTGGGTCGGAGAAGAGGAGTGGTAAAGGTCGAAGGAGGAGAGGAAGGAAAGAAGAGGTTTTAACTTATCAGTCTGGATGTTGAAGCCGCCGAGCAGGATAAGTGTGGCGCCATCGTCATGGAAGTGCGAGACTAATGTGTCGAGCTCCTCCAGGAACTCACCAAGAGGGCCTGGTGGGCGATACACAACAGCAATGGTGAGCTTGACTGGATGAGTGACAGTAACCGCATGAAATTCGAAAGAGGACGGGGAGAACTGAGGAACCGAGACAAGAGTGTATTTCCATTTTGGGGAGAGTAGCAGGCCAGTACCACCACCTCGCCTCGCAGCTCTGGGAATGTGAGTGAAAGAGTACACATATAACCAGCCTGTTGATGAGGGAGGAGCAGTACCAAAGGATGAGAAAAGGGTCAATCTCTAACTAATGAATTTTGGAGAGCAGTATGTCTGGCTTTATTATAATGAATTCAGAGAGGATACAGAGTTCACCACAGGTCGAGAGTCTTTGCACTCCTTGGGACATGGTTTTTTAGAAAGGCTGATGTGTGAGGACAGTGTGTGTGTGTCACTAGCTCCTCAGTGTAGAATAGAGGTGCTGGTGTCTGGGCAGCTGGACTTGAGTGCATTGAGGTGTTGAAAGATGGTTTTCACCCACTGACTCTTCAGACCCCACAGGTACTGACTCCAGTACCTCCCTGCATCTAACCCTAACCCCCACTGGTTTCAATATGATGAAAAAGGCCTTGGGTTCATTTGCAGTGGCCAACCCATCATTCGTCACTTATGGTGTTTACTTGGCATACCTGTCATGTTTTTCATTGTCTGCCCCATTTTTGGAGGGTTCCCCGCCTTGAATACTCAAGGTGTCTCGTGGTGCATCCTTTGCCTCCTTGAGTTTCCCTCTCAGTTCCTTCCTTTCTTTGCAGCTCAAAAGTGTCCTTGTTTGCGTCTCTGTTAGGCCCCACCGTAGGGCAGTCCTATGGGGCGAACAACACTCCCCCACTTACCCATATCATCCACAAAAGGCACACAATCAAATCCATGGGATTTATTAACACGAAAATATACAAACAAGACAATACAAAATCCTAGGCTGAGAGGCAGCAAGAATGGCATTGGCCACACTGGAGACATCACCCTTCTGCTGCTGGCACAGGAGCTTTAAAGCACTTCCTTTACAGGCCAGGTGCACCTGGTTGAGCAATGCAGCACACCTGGGCAGGGTTACTAGTAGCAGTGGTGGGCGGTCAGGGCCAGCAAGGCCTTCTCTGCTGGCTGAGACAGAAGTTATAGCTATTTTATAATTTAATTATTTTTCATAAATACACTACATGTATTCAAAATATTTTCCCATTTCGCCCCATGCTGTCTCTAGGTAAAAAAAAAGTGAATCCATTTGCAGTTTAAGTGAATGGAGACGATATTGTTGATTGTCATAGTCTTCAACCAATCAGATGTTTAGTTTGACATGTTGGGCGTATTCTTTGACATGCCAGTGCCTTCTAGCTGGCCTACAAGTACGTCAGCATTAACATGCGTCTTGATTGGTCTGTGGGCTAGCGTGACATGTTTGGTGGTGACAATCCCAATATCTGCTGCCTCTGTCGAGCGGACATTTCCAGCCCTCAAACCAGTGGCGGGCCGTGTATTTTATACCTGGGCCTTCACTGCTGTCCTGCAGCTGAAACACAGCTACGGTTATTATTTGTTTCGTGTCAAAATGAAGCCACCACCTATAGATGGAGTGTGTCTCCTCTCTGCTATGACTGCAGCTGGGACTGCTGCGCCAGGCTTCTGTGAGAGTACCCGCCTGTGTGATTTGGGGCGGCAGCAGAGGGGCTCACAGCAGCACCCGCTGCTCGTTCACGAGAGTGCAGAACGGTACGTGCTTTAACGTCAGAAAACTCTAATAACACCAGAAAAAGTCGCTAGATTTGTCGCTAGTAGCTTTTGACTGAAAAGTCGCCATGAGGGTTTGGAAAGTCGCCAGATTTAGCGAGAAAGTCGCCCAGTTGCCAACATTGGCACCAGCTAAATATGTCCCCAGAGCAACATTGGATGTAACAATGGTTCCCATCACATATTAAACCAAACCAAAAATCCATCTTCATAAAAGTTGTAGAAATAATAATATGTAAACAAGCATCTTTAAGCTACTACAGATGTACAAACAAAAGCAGTTGACTTACCAGAGCTGCTGTTCACTATTTAGCTGCTGCTCCTCCTTTCTTTGTTAATAAAGACTTTAATCCCACGGTTGTTCAGTACATCCGTGCGTTTTAGTTCCAGTAAGAAGTCCTTCTCCATTCATGGACGCCAGTTTAGACAGTCGAGCCTCCCCAGTTGTATTTCTTGAATAGGTTTTAATGCGTTTGTGGGCTGAAAATGTCCGCTTGACAGAGGCAGCAGATATTGGGATTGTCACCGCCCAACATGTCAGGCTAGCCCACTGACCAATCACCTATGGCTAGGCCAGCTAGCAGGCTCTGGCACGTCAAAGAATACGCCCAACATGTCAAACTAAAGATCTGATTGGTTGAACACTATGACAATCAACAATATGGTCCCCATTCACTTAAAGTACACATGGATTCACTTGTGAGTCTGCAGGCCTCGGGCCTCTTTTCTTACCTAGAGACACAGAGGTGAAATCTGATTGGATGAAAGCTCTACTTAAAACAAGCTGCACTGGAAGCAGAGCAACTGAGAAAGACGGTAGCTGTGCAATGAGAAAATAAGATAATGGGAAAAATATTTTTATAAATTATAATACATGTCGTGTATTTAAGAAAAATTATTAAATTATGAAATAGCTATAACTTTGTGATTCTGTTTAGGCCAGCAGAGAAAGCTTTGCAGGCCCTGACGGCCCACCACTGCCTCAAACGCATTAAAACGTATTCAAGAAATACAACTGGGGAGGCTCGACTGTCATCACTGGCGTCCATGAATCAAGAAAGACCTCTTACTGGAACTGAATCGATGTTCTGTACAACCGCAGTATTAAACTCTTTGTACTCAAAGAAACGAGGATAGATTTTGTCTTTAAGTGAACAGCAGCTTTGGTAAGTGAACTGCTTTTGTTTTACCTCTGCAGTAGAGTTACTACTGTGGTCATTTGGCTATGGTGTCGTTTTTATGATATGGTTAATATTGTTCCCTCTGATGTGAATAATATTTGAATGGTGCTCTTCAATGTGTGGATGAATGCGTGTTTTAGCGCTGCAGTTTTGCTGGAATGTGCAGAGGTGTAGTTTTATTTGGGTTTTATGTTATTCTACCTGCGTTGTTGTCATATAAATATATGACTGGTTCTTCTGAGTTTGTTCTTGTCATTGTGTTAATTACATTGATTTTGACTATATGCATTATCCGTTAATGACAAAGCATCCCGTTATGCTGCGTCATAGTGAGGTTATTAGGTGGTTCAACTGTAGTAGGATAGCACTGAAGGCCCAAGTATAAAACACAATGCCCGCCACTGCTAGAGATGGAGAGGGGCCAAGAGCACAGGAAACACAAACAGCCGTAACAACCACAGTGTGGTCAAAGTTGGATATTGGTGATTGGCTCCTGGATTGATAGGCATTGGTGAGGTTCATGTAACATTTGTCCAGTGTATTTCCATTCCTTGTTCAACAGCTTACAATCTGTTGTGTGGATATATATCATAGCAGGTAGTGCTGGTCTTGATATCCGTTGCCGCAGTCTCCTCCTAATTCCACCCTGCCTCCCTCACTCTCCATCCCGCCTGTTTGTTGTCTCCATTCCCAGGTGATGGTTGCTGGCATTCCTGCTCAATTTCTACTTAACTTGTTGGTTGTTTCAGTTTCCCTGTGATGCCAGCTAGCAGCCTTGGTGTAGCTCTTTTGGCGCATTACCCTTTGTTCCAGAGATTCAGAAGTGAAGGAGGTCACCAGTAAACAGTAGAACTCTCTCCACTGATGGTCCATACTTGAACGCCCACATATTACCGTGATCTGCAGACCTGCTACAAACAATACCGCCGCAAATCACAGGAAGAAATGTTGAACATGCAAGATGCCAGCTGAGTAGCACGCTGTAAGACTTTTTCATCCTGATTAAAAATCATGAATCAAATCTGACAGTGTTTCCGAATCATTTTACTCCGGCATGCAACTTTCACTGAATCACACTGCCCCAATTAACTTGATAGGGAGGATAATTAATTTATCAATGATTAATATGGTAGCATGGCTGATATATCCCATATTGATATAGTAATCAGTGTAGATTTAGCGACTCTTCAGACTCTCTTAGTGACTTTAATTTTTTAAGTAACAAGCAACAAAATTAGCAACTTATTCAGACCACTATGGTAAATGGAGGAATTATATTGAAACAAATTATTTATTATATTTGATTCATGCTGGCATGCTGCTCAAAGTAATCGTAGTGACCAGCTGTCAATAGGTATGGGCCAGTAAGTGGGTAGGTATGGGCCCCCTCAGTCGGTAGGTATGGGGCCAGTGAGTCAGAAGGTATGGTATGGGCCAGTGAGTCAGAAGGTATGGTATGGGCCAGTCAGTCAGTAGGTATGGTCCAGTCAGTCAGTAGGTATGGGCCAGTCAGTCAGAAGGTATGGTCCAGTCAGTCAGAAGGTATGGTCCAGTCAGTCAGTAGGTATGGGCCAGTCAGTCAGTAGGTATGGGCCAGTCAGTCAGTAGGTATGGGCCAGTCAGTCAGTAGGTATGGGCCAGTCAGTCGAAATTTGTCAGACAAATGAAAAAACTGGATCTTTAAAAAAAAAGAAATTCATCTAGAGATATCTGTAATTGTTATTTTTTTTTCCAGTAAAAATGAATGTACTGATATTTTACATTAAAGATATTTATAAATCACTTTTGCAAATATAAATGTAACATGTCGAAATTATTTTTCTAAAATTATCTAAAATACTAATTTAAATTAACATCTGTTTTTACACACACACTGTCTATGTTAATGTGTCTGCTAACACCAGCAGTAAACAGAAGCAGTGGACTCACCAAAGTCTGCTAGTTTGAGCTCTCCTCGCTCGTTGATCAGCAGGTTTTGGGGTTTCAGGTCTCTGTGGAGAACCTTCCTCCGATGACAATACGACAAACCTCGCAACAACTGGAAAAGGAAGAGCTGAGGAGACAAACAGCAGTGTACTGACTGGGGGCAAGTTACTGGTAGACTTGCATAACATGGATACAAAAATGGAAATGAAAAAGCTGAGGACACAAAAACCAATACAAAGAATTACAGGTAGAGTTTTAAACAGTTTAAGATCAAATAAATCCGGGTCAAGGGCTGCTGATTCTGATTGGCTAACAGTGCTGTCAATCTCATTTTGGTCGGTATAGCTAAATTCTATTGGCTCTAACGCTTCAAATGAGGTGTCAGTCACTGAAATCGACCAATGGGTTGCTGAGATAGAGCCCTATGTACTCACAGGGGGCTGACATCGAGAAAAACTCCAGTACGCAGAGAGACACAGAGAGGGTTCAGAGAGGATTCTGGCTTTCAAAATAAAGTCAAAACTGCTGTATTTGGATGTATTGAACACTATTAGTGATATACAAGTGAAGTATATAGTTTGGTATATGAGAAAATCCTTGCCTGAACTGTCTGTACTAAAACCTCTCTAATTTTGTTCTGCTTCACTTTATCAAAGTCAAACTTTGCAGAGAGACTGTTCACATATTGTGCTATGATTTGGGAGAGGTTTTAGACCTGCAGCTGCATCATTCCAAAGAAATAATAATCCTATAATTGCTTTTTTTTTCAGGCGAACCTGAAACGTTTCAATTTGTGCTGTGTGCCATCTTAATTTACTCTTAACCAGTAACATATAGTATAGTATAACCAGTTATAGTATAACCAGTATACTGATATTTACACATCTGAAGAAATCTCACAAGTGTTACCTTTATTATAACACCAAAATTATTCAAATAGACTTTGTGGTTGCAGAGATATACTCTTTTTAGTATGGGTATGCAATTTTCGAGCAGAGGCCTAAAAAACTAGTTACTTAATACTTATGCTCCAAAACTATGGAACAGTCTACCCAAAGATATTAGAGGCAAACCTCTGTTGACATTTTCAAGCATCATTTATAAACATATCTATTTTGCTAAGTTTTTCTTTTTTAACAGCACTTTGTCGACCCATAAAGTTACACAACTGTCTTCTAAATAATCGTTTATGTATTCAAACATTTTTGTCTAAAAAATTTTTTATTTCTTATTTTTTTGTCATTTTAAATGTAAAATGTTTTCCTGTTGAAATTTATTAAATTAAACTTAAAATGTAAGTGCAAAATGCATGCTTTCTTCCTACAACTTTTATTTATTTTATCTGTAAAAGGATGGTCTTTGAGCTACATAGCCTGTATGATATGCGCTATATAAATAAAGATTATTATTATTACTACTCATAAAACAATTATCTGTAATATTTGTTTATAACCAAACCTGCTTCTACCAGATCCAAACACACATAAAACTCATATCAGCATCATTGATACCATGTCAGTCAGTATTATGTCATTTGTAAACTAGTAGTACTGACAGGTACATTCAAAGTTTTCTCACTTTGATGTTGTGAACATTGATGATGTTTCCACAGTCGTCCAGATACTGTTTCAGATCTTTGTCCTGAAACACACAAGAAACAGGATTAAAGGCTCAATACACCAAATAAAAAGATGTGTGTGCATGCGTGCGTGTGTGTGTGCGTCTCACCAGATACTCAAACACCAGTGTGAGGGACTTCTGTGTGTGGATGATGTCATGAAGCGTGACGATGTTGGCATGTTTCAGATCCTTCAAGAGAGACACTGAGGGAGAACACACACATTAATACTGTTAGATATGTTGGAGTGTTTTGCGAAATTGTGAATGCCCTCTACACGGAATGCCCTGGTTATTAGGTGTTAACAAGCACCGTACTGCTGCTCAGCAAAACAACGAATAAAAAATTTAGAAAAACAAAAATGTAACCGAGGGAGACACAGGGCTCTGTGTCTCTGGTATGATGGCGCCTGCACAGACGTGCAGATAAGATAACATACACACACACTGTAGAAAGATCGTAGAAAAATTATGAAAGCATAAAAGCATAGCTATTATAACCTGTAACCCTTTTGATTTCAAAGTATAACCAGCACAACATATAGCATGTTTACACTTTTTATAACCATCATAATATAACTTGTTTTATTTTATGATAGCTGTGATTTAACATATAAACTGTTTAGAGTTAGACACTTTGTTTAAAATAGTCACTTGAGCCTTACAGTGCTTCTGGTTCTAGCAGGATCAAACCAGTTACCACCAGTTACATTCTGTGTCAGCTCTAGAGAGAGGACTCATGTGTGAGTGACACATGAAATGAAGGAGGTGCCAGCCTTAGAGCAGCATAAAAAGCAGCAGAAAAACTGTGAGATTGGGGCTTCTCCCCACCCCAACTAGAGAATGGGAATGTCAGAGAGCTGACTGAGGAATACCTCATTACAAAATCAGCGAAGGCTGACAGAGAGGAATGCTACAATTAGTTCTTGTAGCCACTGTAACTGTTTCATTGAATTGAAATTGTTGTATGTGAATCTTGTGTGAAAACCAGAAATAAAAACACAGCCTTACATTTAGTAAGTGACTGAAACCAAAACAGTGTTCTGGTCCTTTAAAACAATGTACCCCTCTTCCCCTGTCCGTTAACCGTGCGATAAGATGTGACGACTGAAACATGCAGAGGAGCCTAACTATTTAGCTACGGGGTGAGATAAAAGGCCGAAGGTATTGTTCTGAGACCTCAAGGAGGAACGCATATCCTCGCAGGTGGGACAGCCGACGGAGTAACCACCGTGTTAGGTGCGAACTACTTCCCCGCCTAGAAACGGGGCAGGAGCCGCTCACGCTACACAACACACATACACACACACACACACACATTCGCGGGGCTTGAAGGGGCTGTCCAGGTGACCAGGTGATTGGCGATTATGACCTACTTTCGTGACCCAGATTTGTGACCCACTTTCAGGGGGACAGATGAAGGTGACGTGATGTTTTCACAGCCTTACACAGATGTTTGCATTCTGCATTTAGCCCTGGACGCTTGTCAACACATTCACCCTTGGCCTAGAAAGATGACCACATACTTGCACACACATGTTTTACTTATTATCTTTTATGTTTACTTTAAGCTTCGGTTAGGGTCTCCTACAGCCTTAGTTTAGGCATTGGATCCCTTAAGGACATAGGCGCAATTTAGCGTACATATATATGAGAATACCCTGCTATTAATCTTATGCTGGGCAAAAAGGTGTATTATGTTTTATATCATGTATTGTTTGGATTATCCTGTATCCCTGTAACCTGTTGGAACATACGCTGATGTATATGTATCTGAATATTATTATCAACCTGTGAGCAAGGTGTGTCATACGTCCTCAGTACCAGTAGATGTCATTGTGTTAGAGAACAATATGTTCATCAATGTATGACTAAATTTAAGGGGGGTTACCATGCCCATGTCATGACCCACAGAGGCAGCAAGAAAGCGGGGGGGGTTTGGAACTTTCCCCCGGTGTTGTGAGAGTATAAATATTCTCGATTTTAAAGGATCGAGGCGGTAGTTGAGGAGAAGTCCACCAGGTCTGTACCTGCGTGGGGTTAAACTTTAAATTCTTACAAATCTCCGGACATTTGAAAACAGCTTGCTCACTGAGTACAGGGTTTTTTAAATTCTTTTTCGATATTTTCTATATTCTTTTTGTTAATCGATTTTTCTCGGTATTTGGACCAAAAGAATATACTTTGAATTGGACAGAAATACTGTAAATAAGTAACATTTTAACTTTTTTCGACCGACTCTTTTTCTACGTCTATTTTGGCAACTCTGAGTAAAGAGGTCTCCTCTAAGGGGGATGATCTCCCAGCCCCTGTGTTAAGTTGAAGGACCTCCATTACGGCACACGACTGATGCATACTTTATGCACACACACCTATACATACTAACATCCGTTTCTATAGTTAAGAGAGTCTCGGGGAAGACCCACTTCAAACCGGTCCCAAAGAACGACCGTGAGTTTGAAAGAGCTTTATAACTGTTAGGCTCTGAGTAGGGAAATACATTAAAGATTTTGTAAAACCGACGGCTATTCGAGCGACAGATTATAATATTTAGTATATCAATGTTTGGCGATTCGGAAAAGAGAGCAAACGAGCTATCGATTGTGCTTTTGTTGGTGATTTATTACTATTTGGTGCAATTGGCTACCGGTATAAGTTTCTCTTAAGCGGAGGCTATCGATGCAAATTAGGGAGAAGTGCGCGGGGGCCACTCTCCCTCAGGTCAGGTGAGTGAGTCATATAGAGGGAGAACTGAACCTCTGCCTCTCTCCCCCTTCTCGCAGTCCCTTGCTGCATCAGGGGCACTCACAGGGGGCGACCGGACATTGGGGCACGAGTCCCGTGGATCCGTGGTCACCCCGGCGGCAGCTCGGGTCTGCCCGTCGCCGGCAAGGTTCTCTCAGTTCACGCACACACTACTGAGGGATCCTCGTTTCACTTTTGTTCGTTTCAAACAAAAGGCCTCCTATTTATTCATTGCTTTTTATTTTTTTGATAAATTACAAAATAAAAAATAAAATGTTTAATTTTTTTTAATAATAATTTTTTTTTAAATTAAATTAAGAAATAATTTTTAGAAAGTGTGCGGCGGCCGTCGCACGTTACAATACACACGCATTAATACGCATGCATTAAGACGCACTCATTATTACGCACGCATTATTCCACACACATTTTTCTGCACGCATCATTACGCACACATTATTACGCACGCATTTTTACACACGCATCATTACGCAGCATCATTACGCACGCATTATTACGCACGCAATAATAAACACGCATTAATACGCACGTATTAAGACGCACTCTTTATTACGCACGCATTTTTACGCACCCATTATTACGCACGCATTATTACGCATGCATTATTACGCACGCATTATGGCACCAGTGGCGGGCCGTATATTTTATACCTAGGCCTTCACTGCTGTCCTGCAGCTGAAATACCACCTTATAACCTCATGATGGCGCCACAGCTATTATTCGTTTCTAGGACTGTAACTATATACGCCTTCGTATTAAACCGTTTCGGTATGAGGCTTACCGAACAATATGTTTGAAAATGCAGAAGCTTAAATTGAGGTAAATATAATGTTTTCTGCGCTCATGTAGGACAGTGGTTCTCAACTGGTCTGTCTGGCTGCGGGGTCCACCATCACCCCTTAATGACAAGCCGCGACCCATTCTTCTCTATTGGAGTCCGTCTTATGATTTTACTTTCACAACTGACTCACAGCACACGCTGCACCTCACTGCAGAGCTGCACATGGAAACTGAGCTGCACTTAATGCTGACGTAGTTGTAGGCCAGCTAGCAGGCTCTGACACGTCAAAGAATACGCCCAATATGTCAAACTAAAGATCTGATTGGTTGAACACTATGACAATCAACAATATCGTCCCCATTCACTTAAGCTGCACATGGATGCACTTGTGAGTCTGCAGGCCTCGGGCCTCTCTTCTTACCTAGAGACACAGAGGTGAAATCTGATTGGATAAAAGCTCTACTTAAAACAAGCTGCACTGGAAGCAGAGAAACTGAGGAAGACAGTAGCTGTGCAATGAGAACATAAGATAATGGGAACAATATTTTTATAAATTATAATACATGTAGTGTATTTAAGAAACATTATTAGATTATAAAATAGGTATAACTTTGTGATTCTGTTTAGACCAGCAGAGAAGGCCTTGAAGGCCCTAACGGACCACCACTCATTACGCACGCATTATTACGCACAGATTATTATGCACACATTAATACGCACACATTAATACTGGGCCGATATATTGCGATACGATACAATGCATATTGCAATATCTTGGAATACTTTTATAATTTTAAATACAGCTTGCCGTGTACCACCTGGATAGTCTAATACCTACATGACATATTGTTAACTCAGCGGACAAATTGCATCAAAACTAATTCAAAAGGTATTTGTATTTCACAAAGTCACTCACCGAGAACACACTGAACTGAAAGATTAAAGAATAAAGTGCATATTGTATTCTCATTGTGTCACGGAACACTTTTTTACTAAAATGCACTAAGCACAACTTCATTATACAATAAATGACATACTGTACCCTTTGTGTCACTGATCACTCTTAACTTCCATGTAGATGATAAACATATGAAATAAAGTGCATTAAGTAAAGTTGATCTGTCACTATATTTGTGTTCTTCTCGTTTATGTGCAATTCCTCCAAGTTCAGTTTTCAGTAACTCCTCCATGGTACAGCCTGTACGGCTCTCGTGATGTGACGTTATCGTAACATTTGACTCGGTGGTCTAGTCGTCTAACATCTCACGTCAGGGCTCCTCTCTCTGAGGTGTGTGTGGGGGGGGGTGCATGTTTAGACGCGGTTCTTCACCTCTTTATAAATCCTGGGCACTACACTGCTACATCCATCATGTGTCGACAGGAATGAGTCGGGATCACATAGTGTGTCTCTTGCTTGTATCACTGTTAATGCAGTATCAGTACTACCACTGATACTATCAGTATCACTGTTAATGCAGTATCAGTACTAAAAGTGATACTGATCGAATCATATACTGTGTGTGTCACAATATACTGTAATGGTAGTAGGCTTAACTGTAGCACTAGCATTGTAGTAGATTATTGTAGTGTAGTCTTACTTCTTTAGTATACATAAGTACTACCTTCTCTGATAGCAGTACATGGAGCTCCTTCTTCATGTTCTAATCGAATCTCCTTCAAGGCCACGAGGTTCTCGGTCAGTTTACTGCGACCTTTATACACTGTAGCATATGTCCCCTGCAGAAAGACAGGGAGAGAGAGAAACAGGTGAGAGAGACAGGTAGAGACAGGTTGGTCTGCTCACATCAACACAATACATACAATCATGAGTCCTCACCTCTCCTAGTTTGTCCAGTTTGATGTACGTCTCCAGTTTCCCAAAACCAATCTCTGACTGCAGACACAAAGGGACAGACAGAGACAAAGACAGACAGACAAGATAATGTTAATATGATCTGCATGAAGACACCAAATACTAATATTAGAATACAATAGAAACAGGACAATAAAAGCAGGTAGACGTACCAGAGACACTCTACGCAGCCTTCTGCTAATTGGCTGCTCAAACAGAGCTGGACCAATCAGATTAAACTTCTCCAGATAACCGTCTGGAAGGCGAATGTCGGCCGGTAATGACAGACGTTTGTTAATGTCCTAAAACACAAAAAAGCAGCACATTAATGGAGTCAGGGACATCAACAGGAACCAAACAGAGTCCAAAGACAGAGTTCAGACTCTAAAGACAGAGTTCAGACTCTAAAGACAGAGTTCAGAGTCCAAAGACAGAGTTCAGAGTCCAAAGACAGAGTTCAGACACTAAAGACAGAGTTCAGACACTAAAGACAGAGTTCAGAGTCCAAATACAGAGTTCAGAGTCTAAAGACAGAGTTCAGAGTCCAAAGACAGAGTTCAGAGTCTAAAGACAGAGTTCAAAGTCTAAAGTTCAAAGTTCAAAGTTTGCTTTATTGTCAATTCCACAATATGTACCGAACATACAGAGGAGTTGAAAAGACGTTTCTCTCCAGTCCAACATATAAACATATAAAGTGAATACAGTGCAATAGATTTTAAAAAAAAAAACATTTAGACAACATATATACGTATAATAAGAAAAAAACTATCAATCTGTATTTAGCAGCAGTCGGACATAGAGTCTTAAAAGAGAGGAGGGAGAGAGTTCAGCTTCCTAACAGCCTGGTGGACAAAGCTGTTTGAGAGTCTGGTGGTGCGAGCACAGAGGCTCCAGTATCTTCTCCCAGAGGGCAGGAGGCTGAAGAGACTGTGCGAGGGGTGGCTGGAGTCGCGCACAATCATGGTCACTTTGCGGGTGAGGCGGGTGTCGTATATGTCCTGCAGGGAGGGGAGTGGGGGGAGTGAGGCACCAATGATCCTTCCAGCTGTGTTCACTATGCGCTGCAGGGCTTTCCTGTTGTAGTCAGTGCAGCTTCCGCTCCACACAGTGATACAGTTTGTCAGGATGCTCTCAATGGTGCCTCTGTAAAAAGTGCACATGATGGGTGGGGGTGTTCTTGCCTTCTTCAGTTTGCGGAGAAAGTAGAGGCGCCTCTAGGCTTTCTTTGCCAGTGATGCTGTGTTGGCTGTCCACGAGAGGTCCTCACTGATGTCCACCCCCAGGAATTTGGTGCTGCTCACTCTCTCTATATCAGCACCATTGATGGTCAGTGGTGGGTGTTGAGTGTGGCCTCTCCGGAAGTCAACAACAATCTCCTTCGTCTTGCTGTTATTCAGAAGGAGGTTGCTGTCTCTGCACCACGTGGTTAGAAGGCTGACCTCCTTCCTATAGTGGGTCTCATCGACGTTGGTGATGAGACCAACCAGAGTTGTGTCGTCTGCAAATTTGACCATGTGATTGGTGCTGTAGGTTGTTGTGCAGTCGTGTGTCAGCAAGGTGAAGAGCAGTGGACTGAGCACACAGCCTTGAGGGGCCCCTGTGCTCAGTGTGATGCTGCTCGAGGTGTTGTTGCCGACACGTACTGCTTGTGGCCTCTCACTGAGGAGGTCCAGCAGCCAGTTACACAGCGAGGTCTTGAGCCCCAGCTGGTCAAGTTTAAAGACAGAGTGCAGGTCTAAAGACAGAGTTCAGAGACCAAAGACAGAGTTCAGAGTCTAAAGACAGAGTTCAGAGACCAAAGACAGAGTTCAGAGTCTAAAGACAGAGTTCAGAGTCCAAAGACAGAGTTCAGAGTCTAAAGACAGAGTTCAGAGTCTAAAGCCAGAGTTCAGGACTAAAGGCAGAGCTAAAGGTCGAACTAAAGGCAGGACTATGAGTCCTGAACTTCTTATGGACACAGATGATGTGATGTGGAAGAAAAAGCTCATGCAGGAGGTGTCCTGATTCCAACGAGGGAAAACACACTCAAATTCAGACCGTTTTAGCAAATACATTCTCCCAAAGTTGAGCGGGAAATCTTTGAGAGTGTCATTTTGCAGAGGTATTATACTTCTTCGAGAACGACTCCATTGATACGTCTGAGCAGAAGGCAGGGCAGCAGATCTGATTTGGCAGCAGATACAGGTCACACAGACTCCCGTTCTCAGACTCGGTCAATGCAAGACCAGCGGCTCTTTGCTGAATGCCAGGAAACCACCGAGTCCACAGTTCAGATTGTTGTGGTCCACATAACTCAAGGTGAAAAGGCCAAGAGGATGGTCAGTTCCTGCAAACATCTGCCTGTATTACAAAAGTGCCATGGGACTGCCTCTCTGATGGAAGAATTAAAGTGCAATAAAGCAGGACTTGAGATGACTTTCTGAATTCCAGGATCAACTCCTGTAGCAGGAGGAAGGTAGTCCTTCAGCAGGTAAAAGCTGTACTCAAGTGTTGAAAAGACTGTTAATGCAGAAAAGGCAATATCAGCATAGAGAACGATGGTGAGAAAAGCAGCATCTCAGTCAAAACAGAGACAGTGGACAATCTGGGAAACACTGAGAAGAAGAAAGAAAAACAACTGGAGAGTAAGGACATAAGATAAGCTTCCTTTGAGACAGCCACACCACACAGAGTAAGCAGAGAATATTCTGGAGGGTCAGACTTTTCACCTTGTCTCAAGGTGAAAAGTCCATCTCCAGAGAACTTGACGCTCCTTTGACCACCGTGCACGATATCATCAAGAGGTTTAAGGCCCATGCAATGGAGCCAACATCACTGGAAGAGGACCCAGAAGAAAAGTTACCCAAAGATTGCAGCGAATCTGCAAAACAGATTCAAGCTGACCTTCAGACACAAGAAACAACTGTTTCCCAACATCTGTCTATCAACTCAATGAAAGGGTGGGACACCAAGGAGGACAATCTGCTGAGACAGAGACGCCCGACGGTATTTGGCTCAATCACATCTGAAGGAATGCAGGACAACAACAAGAAACACATCAACAAGTTCCCAGGAATGGTTCAAAAGAAAAAAGTGGTCAGCAATGAGTCAAGATCTGGGTCCAACTGAACATCTGTGGAGAGATCTGAACACAGCTGGAGAAGTTCTAAAGGTTATATTAAGTTCTGAATCAATAAAGTTACTGTACTATTGTAATAATGAATTGTGGAGACAAAATACTTTTGTTAATTTCAACTTAGTTTAGAGACGTTTTTATGTGCAAGAGTGTATTTTTATTTAGTTTATTTAGCTATTGCTTAAAGTTACTGTTCAATCAAAGTAAGTGTGGGTTGTGTGTGTACAGGTGTGCGTACAGGTGTACCTCAGTTGAGATCTTCTTGTTTCTCAGTCTCACTCTAACTGGACTCTGAACGTTGACTGAAGAAGAAGCCGGATCACTTTCTCCATCTGAACTCATCTTTACATCCTCATGGACGATCTCTGAAAGTACACAAACATGAACACAGAGAACATGAACACAGTATGTGAAAGCAGTACAGAAATGTGTGTCTCCAGTAATTGGTGTAAATGTTGGTTAAATAGGTGAGATACAATAAATAGAGACATATAACATTCTAGTTTAAAGTGACTAGAGTTCAGTCACCAGCTTTTACTTCTCTATCTTTGTTATCTGTTTCTAAAAGAGCTCGGTGCATCAATAACTCCACAGAACACCTGAGTGTGTGTGAGCGCCTTTCAATAGGAAAATACTTCACCATTGACTTTTTATGAAATATTGACTGTATTTGATTTCAGATATTAGTTGACTCATATTTTTACAATTGAAAGGTGTAAATGGAAAAATTACGGCTCAAAAACAAACGCACCGTAAAAGTTTCTGATGAAGTGGATTTAAAACAAACTGTGAGAGGCATCATTATACACACAATGTGTACAGTATTTCTACATGTATTTGTAGTATTAGTACCCAGTCGAGCCGTGTGGTTCAGGTAGTGCAGTATTTGTACATGTATTTGTAGTATTAGTACCCAGTCGAGCCGTGTGGTTCAGGTAGTGCAGTATTTGTACATGTATTTGTAGTACTATTACTATTTTGACCTTTTTTCAAGTAAAGATTCCTGAGTTTTGAACTTCACCTCGTCTCTTGTGTCTTATCTGCGATTGAGTCCCGGATCTGCCCCTCGGCCTGACAAGGCGAGCCATGTGGTTCAGGTAGGAGCAGTATTTGTACATGTATTAGTACCCAGTCGAGCCATGTGGTTCAGGTAGTGCAGTATTTGTACATGTGTGTGTAGTACTATTACCCAGTCGAGCCGTGTGGTTCAGGTAGGAGCTCAGGCTTCGTCCGAGACCTCCAGGTTTCTTCAGCGAGCTGCTGTACGACTGAAGAAGAGACTGAACTGATGAAGACGAACCTCGAACCTTCAAACCTCCAGAAGAACCACGAAGAGACACCACCTCTGACAAATGATGATGAAGAGGAGATGGAGGGATGATGAAGAGGGGATGATGAAGAGGAGATGGGGGTATGATGAAGAGGAGATGGGGGTATGATGAAGAGGCGATGGAGGGATGATGAAGAGGAGATGGAGGGGAGATGGAGGGATGATGAAGAGGAGATGGAGGGATGATTAAGAGGAGATGGAGGGATGATGAAGAGGAGTTGATTTAGTGGAGAAAAAGAACACAAATAAATAAAGTAACGTGTCATCACAGCAGCAGATTGATGAACTGATCGATTCTTAGTTCCAACAGATGACCAATAAAAGTCATAAATCCAACCAACTAATCAGATCAGAGGGAGGAGTCTGTGATGTCACTGTAAACATCACACATCACTAGGGATGGGTATCGTTTTGTTTTTTTCCGATACTGGTGCTAAAACGATACCTTTAAAACGATACCGGTGCCTAAACGGTGCCTGAACCGATACTTTTTTCTTCTTGAACAATATATTAACTGTTTAAAGTATACTATAAATATAAATAAATACAAAACACTTGGCTTGAAACTACAGCTTAAAGCTTTTTAACTTCAAACTATGAACAATATATTAACTGTTAACAGTTTACAGTATACTTAAATAATTATAAATAAATACAAAACACACACACACTCTGTACACACACTACAGCTTCAAACTTCAGCAATTATTTTGCAGAAATATGAGCATATTTGCCTTCTCTGGCAAAATACGACACGTCTCATGACTTATTTTATTTTACCAGTTGGTGGCGGTAATGCGCCAATTCGTCGTTTGCCAACCGCCACTACACCTCAAAGAAGAAGAAGAAGAAGCTTTCGCGTGCCTGTGGATGTTGTGCTTATGAGCAGCAGCGCTAAGTACCCCGTTGTAATAATACTATGAGTGAGGAGCGGAGGACCGAGTCCTGCTGCCAGGACGGAGTCATCAGAGTAGTGTAAAAAAAGTATTTCATATTGGCACCGCTTTTCGATACCAAACCCTACACATCACTGGTTCAGGAATGAAACCGGTGACCTCACGGTCAGAACCAGAACTAGACCACCTGATTCAACATCACACCTGCTGGTTCTGGTTCTGATTCTGGATCACCTGTGCTGCTACATCACAAATACTACAGTATAGTATCTCTTCTTAGTACACTGAGTACTTCAGTCTGTTACTAGAGTTGTAGTATCTATTCTTAGTACACTGAGTACTTCAGTCTGTTACTAGAGGAGTTGTAGTATCTCTTCTTAGATAGGAGTACTGATATGAACTAATGGGCTAACATGATTGTTTCCTTTCTGTAGTCCACCATCTTTGTAGTTCCACCGAGGCAGATCGATGTTAGTAACATCCCATAATTACTTAGTTTAGTGAAAACGTAGTCGGATTCTTTCGTCTCCTAAAACCTTTCCTTGACTTCATGAGGTTTTGCATTGTAGTCAAGGAAAAATGGTTAGGAAAAGACTTTAGGGGTCAGTATCCCACAATTTACTACAGACTACAACTTTCTCTAACAGATGTCATTAAAAAACTGATTATGTCATCAGGTGAAAACCAGGAAGTTTATAAGAGAAACTGTCCCAGTTGAACTTTTGCTTTACGTCTTTGTTGCAGGAAACTGACTGAGAAGAAAAACACTGTTAGTCAACTACAAGTCTATCAAAGTTGGGCTGGATCCATTTGATGGATCCGATCCAGTTGATGGATCCAGTGGAAGGATCCAGTGGAAGGATCCAGTGGAAGGATCCAGTGGATGGATCCAGTGGATGGATCCAGTTCAAGGATCCAGTTCGAGGATCCAGTTGATGGATTTCAGAAAAAGAAGAATTTCCTTCGACATGGAGCGAGAAACAGACGTCATGTGTGTGTGTGAGTTACCTGAGTCACTGTGTGATGTCACTTCCTGGTTGATGGTGTCACTCAGCGTCCTGTCCCTTCCCCCGGCCCCTCCCCTCCCCAGGGTGAATGACAGCTGCCGTTTGATCTTTCTCATCCTCTCCATGAGGGGGGCGGTGCAGCCAGCCTGGAGACCACACCTGGGCAGGTAAACACAGGGTAATATGGAATATGCTGATAAAGTGAACCGTGAGGTCAGAGAGGAAACACCTGGAGTGTCATTGATTGTCTTCAACTGATCATCATCATCATCATCACCATCAATGAAGACATCCACAGAGCTACAGAACACAAACAGCTTGGCACCTGGCTTTTAGACAAATGTCCATTTTAATCTATCTGGACAATCTTTTCAGTAAAGTGCAGAAAAAAAACATCTTCTAGTAGATAAATAGAACTTCGCAATGAAGAGAAGGAAAGTTGTGAAGGTTTCTGATCAGAGCTTAGGAGACTGCTGATTTGACTCTTAAACCACTTGTGTTCTATGTGTGTTATCTCTATGTTGCGTGTGTGTTCTATGTGTCCTGCATGTTATGTGTGTGTTCTATGTCTTCAGTATTTTGTCTGTGTGTATTCTGTTTGTTGTCTCTGTGTTCCGTGTGTTATCTGTTTCCTGTGTCTTCCTAGTTTGTTCTCTGTGTTCTGTGGGTTCTCTGTATGTTCCATGTGTGTTGTGCTTTTACTATTATTATTATTATTATTATTATTATTATTATTATTATCATCAACCACACAAAATATGTTTTTAGATTAAGAAAGACAGGATTTTCCAGAAAGAGGTGGTGTTTGTTGTCAAATCTAAGAGCCAATCAGCTCTTTGATCTGGAGAAAGCCAGCCGTTTCACATCATGCATTGGGTCACCTGGCACTAAAACTGCGGCCGCCTCGATCTCGTAAGGTCATTGTTCATGACGTCAGAGCAAGTCGGGGTGAAGACGGACACAAATCTACCCATCATGCATTGTGTTCGATTCTGATCAGGACTGGCTCACCTTGAACGGGCCTAATAAAGTTTAAGTTGTAGACAATAGTTTAAGTTGTAGACAATAGTTTAACTCATGGACAATAGTTTAAGTTGTAGACAATAGTGTAACAAGTGGACAATAGTTTAACTCATGGACAATAGTTTAAGTTACATATATATATACATACATATATACATATATATATATATATACATATACATACATATATATATACATATACATACATATATATATACATATACATACATATATATATATATATACATATATATATATATATATATATATATACATATATATATATATATATA